TATGTGGTGTTTCCACTAACAAACAAAACTATTAGATGCATGATTAAACAGTTGAATAATTTGATAAACAACAAGGAGGAATTTCGTTCTCGACCAATCAATGCATTTGTTGATATTTTCGCTCTGAGCCAATCAGAATGCGTAATTGGTTACTACTTCCGTTAAAAACACACATTTGAACAGAAAATATAGGATCTCCAATAAAGCTTCGAGGGGTCAGGATTTTTGATTAACGTGACAAGGATTTGCGTTTTATTGCCGCCTAGTTTTAAAGTTATCGGCATTCGAACAGCGGCGTATAAAAAGCGCGTAAGTTCGAATGCCGATAATTTTAGAACTAGGCAATGAAATGCAAATCCCAGCGGCAAATTTTTAGACAATTTCTTATAATTTTACCCTGTAACGTTGAATCCCATCAAAAAAATTAAAAATCCTAACCCCCTCGAAGCTTTATTTAAGACCGTATATTTTTTGCTCAAACATATGTTTTTACCGGAAGTGGGCTTTCTGTGCTCGCAGGGAAACTACTTACAATAACCAATTACGTATTCTGATTGGCTTAGAGCGAAATTGTCAACAAATGCGCTCATTGATCGAAACGAAATTCACCTTTGTTGTCTCAGCTACATGTTATGTAGCCTGCTTGCAAACGTTGTTGTCAGTTACGCCAAGCGATGAAAAACTAACGTCTGCTTACCCGAACGCCAAACTGAATTCCGCTACGTCAACCCATCAAAATTTACCTTCCAAATTCTGGAAAGTAACGTCAGTTGATTCAGGAGCAAAATAAATCTAAACTAGAAGTTACTAACGCAAGGAAAGTGCTGCCTCGCGGACAAAACTTTGGGTCAACCTCGTTCCCAGGGTATTTGCTCTTGGGAAGCAAAGACCCTGGTGGACGCTGGTCACGTGACCCATAGAAAATTGATAGCCTCAGAGGGGGATGGAAAGGTCTCATATTACATGTTTCCACTTCCGCACTTCACACTTCGATTGCAAGGAGTGGAGAATTTACGGCTGTACACAGGCTAGGAGTGGCCGTGCTGTACAATAATCTTTGAGAATCATATATTCTTCAAAATTCTTACTAGACTGGTTTCTGTTTGCCGTTTTAAATTATACAAACATGGTAAAATTCAGATTCTTGTACTAACAGACAAGTCAGCAAATCAAGCAACGAAAACGTATGACCGTATGGTTTGAAATATTTGCGTTTTTAATATTCTCTCGGGGTTCGGGCGCAATATTTTCATTTCATACGTACGTTTCTGTCCTGGCTCTGTCTCTGGTTCAGATATTTACAATATTCTTATAATATGCCATTGAATTGTTGTCATATAGAAAGGAAACGGTATAAATTTTGTAAAATAGAGGTATCAAAAGCGACTGACAAAATTGTTTGGAATCGACACTCGACAGTGCACTTTTTTGTCTTCACGACTACCTGTTTGTTGAGCCAAAATATATTTGCACAGAATCTCCTATGATAAATTATAGCTATCGCCATTCACCCTCCCACCCTGAATGCAAAGGAATGATATCCAAAAAGATTTAGCAAAGTATTTGTTATTATATCTGGTACGAAGTGTCCCTATACGTTTTATCAGGGATATATATTTATATATATACATAATTCATAAACTGTATATGCGCACCAAGTCTCGCTCATAGAATTACTTAATGAGTTTTAATAAGCCTTTTAAAGTTTCTATTGATACTGATAGATAGTTGTTTGCTTACAGTTACGAAGTATCGTTTGGTGAAACTTCTAAAATTTCAATTACAGTTACACAGTAGGCCCTATAGGGGTATATACGATAAAGATTAAAGACTTAAAGTTGATTTAAATATTGATGACTCACAGCGGCATTATACAAGCCGAAAGAAGCTGGATTTTAAGTTGGATTATTCTTCAAATAATGCCTGGGCATTAATACCAATGCCAATGAAAGGTCTTTATAAGATTTATAATGTTTACTGCAATATATGATATAATTTAGTCTAGTGCATATATCGTCCTAGATATTCAAGTTGTACCGCACGCACCGAGGAGTCTTGGCGTGTGATAACAGTATACTGTAGCTGTACTTCGACATATAGCATTCTTGATCGTTGAGGTGTTTCAGCAATGTAAATAAAAGGAATAACGGGTTTTAATCCTGTGCTTACTGTAATCCACAGTCAAAACAGCACTATTGTTTTTATATACACAGTTGGCGATGTTCAGTACTTCAGTTGAGAAATCAAAGGATCCCGTTATAAAATAAATCCTTTGTTTTGAATATCGGACAGGATACATTTCAACTATAAACAACCATATCATATCGTTCGTTTTATATAAATACCGTTTGATCGATCAGTCGGTGTAGAAGATATCAGATATGTATGTTTATACGGCGATCTGATGCGTGCTCACTAGCCAGGCGCGTGTGGAGTATATTTTTCCTTGCAAGTGAAATATGATCCAGCTTCTCGCTTGAAATGTACCGCAGCACTTACTATTGATGACATTCAATATAGCAGGAAATCTTGTCATGATGAGTACGAATTTAGAACAGTATAAATCATGTTTATTAATACATGTAAAGTGAAGTATACAACACTAATGCATCTGGCGAATGTCAACTACTACATTCTGACCCCTCCCAGATTGACAAAACAACACTAATTAAAAATCTGCTAGATTTTAGCAGATCACGTGACCAGCGTCCACCAGGGTCTTGGCTTCCCAAGAGCAAATACCCTGGGAACGAGGTTGAACTTTGGGTTAGGTTGTCCAAAATCTGTTTATAATCCGTTTATAATCCACTATTATAATTTTTAAACAGTGAAAATCGTATTTATTGTTACAATCGCGCGCATATATGTTACAACAATATTCTAATTATCTAAAATTAAGAAAACAGCTCTCTGTAATGAAACAGGTCTATTTTCTGAGCACTCCAAACAATAGTAGCTAATAGAAATTAAGTAATTATGGGTCATTCCACGGCTTATTTCTCCGACAATATATGTATAATGTGGCCCGCAGGGCTACCTCCACACATTTAGCTATTATGCGATTGTCACTAAGGTTAATTTGCGGATTTTGCAATATTCTTAGACACAAAGTCAAGTGTGGTCACTTCTACTAGAGTAATAATTACCTGGAATGACTCACAGTTAATAACACTATTAATAATGGTTAAATAATATAATGCACAAGAGCCAAGGACTGTTAATACTATTAACAATGGAAACATCAACCTCGTTCCCAGGGCTTCAATGTGAGGACGAGGCGAGACACGAGGAAGCCCTGGTCTGGGCCGGTCAATCTTGCATTCTGATTGGCTAACACCATATTGTCTAAAAATAACTGAACTTGTAATTCATAAAAATAACAATTCAACATTTGTAATTTTGTATTTTTATGATTCTTGTGTGTACGAGTATGTTTTGCAAAATAATCTTTCAAAATAAGATGTTTTCTTTCAGATCTGTGCGTTTTCCCGACTGCATGATTTACTTTCGCCTCGGCCGGTTACAAAACTCAAAAGCCGTGTCGAAGTGAGCTGTGATGTTTCCTGACAAAACAAGAAACGTCTACTATTATTTAAGCTGTAGTTTTCCTTGTACAGTACTTATTAGTGCAGATGTCTGATGAAATACTACGCGTATTGCATTGTAGTAATATTTTAATTTACAATATTCTGTACTGACAAATAAAAGCAAGACAAACAATTAAATGAAGCTACTAAATTAATTTAGGCCCTGTTTACTTAAGAGGGCCTCTCAGTAAAATCCACCCACTGGTTTGGGGAAGGAAAAATAGATTTAGTTCATATTTTGCATATGAACTGGACTTTGGTCAATATTAATCGAGCTTCTTTCAGAACGTTTCAACTTTCTGTTTTTTTGGAGTTATAGCCCATGTTGAAATTTGACCTTGCGAGAGTGACCGAAAATGAAGGGGAATTTTACAAGAATTCAAACGATTTTTTTGAAAACGTTGTGATGCATTTATCCCCTCCAGTTACTGTTTACATGCAAGATTAACACTAATACTCTCGTTTTCATGGAGATTGAACAACTTTATTTGCTTAATACGATTTGTATATAGTTTTACGAAACTATGTTTTCAAGATGGCGGCGGGGCTCTGAAAATTGCTCATATTTTACTTAAAATAGCTCAAAAGTGGCACCTATCTCAAGTTCAAAAGGCATATAATTTGAAATTATACCTACTAAAGTTAAGTAATTATATAATCAGGAATAAAACTCTTCTGCAAACAATTTTCTGAAAAGTTATAAATCTTCAAATTGGGCCTATTTTTAGCTGTTTGTTTACATTCGCGTGTTCGCTGATCAGGGACACTAATAATTGAAGAGTTAAATTAAATAAGCTGATTTATTATCCAGTAAACTTTCTTAACTTGTTCACAAGAATATATACAATTTTGTGAAAATTTAATTACAATATATACAAGCGATCGTATACAGAACATTCCCGAATTCGAATTGCTTTACATTTACACTTAACTTACACTTGCACTAATTACACTTACACATACTAGTTACCTCCGCCAGGAGGTTATGTAATCATCTGGGTTTGTATGTGTGTGTGTATGTGTGTGTGTGTATGTGTGTGTGTGTGTGACACTGTGTATGTGTGTATGTGTGTGTGTTTGTCTGTGAGCACGATAACTCAAGAAATACCAAACATATCCGTACGAAATTTTTTGAATGCATTTCCCATCGGCTAAGGAAGAACTGATTAAAATTTGGTTGAATTTGGTTAAAAATTGAACGAGAAATGAACAAAATTTTGTCTTGCTTTTCCCGGTCAATTAACAAAAAATATTACTGAATGCGTAATTAGGACGTGTATAATTTATGCACTCAGTGCTAAGACAATAATGAGATGATAAACCTCATTAAGCTTCGGCCTTCATTATCTATTGTCTTAGTTGCATTTCACGAGACCGAAATTCAATGTCTAAAACAAGGCTTACGGAGTTACGCATTATTACGTTCAGCAAAGTGCCAGTCCATTCAAATTCTAACAACATTAGATTACTTCAATACAGGGTGTATAAAAGAACGCAACCTCGGAATTTCCCAAGAAATCGACATTGTTTTAAAGACAAAAGATTTTAGCTGCCTGGGAATTTAAAAGAGCACAACTGTGAAAATTACTGCACGCGCGAGTGCATAAAGCAAAATTTATGCATTTATTTAATGACACTTAATAAGTTTTTATTTTACAAGTACTGTACAGTACAACAACAGTAATATGTTTTATTAGCAATTCGATTTCAATTCGCGGGGGCCTGAAATCTTTTATGCTTAAGAATTATAAAGTGGATTTCTTAGGAAATTCCAAGGTTGCGTTTCACTTCCGAGTAACGGGCGGAGGTATGCAGTCTCTGAGTGCCCTCTAGTATTGAATATACATTGGTAATATAATAAGAACTTCGTCAGAAACATTGACACAATACCATATTCTCCTGATTATGACTTTGATCTGCCGCTCTCACGGTGGGAGGTGCATGTCTGCACGACCAATGCGAGTAGAAAACGTACATAACTGTCTTTGTGCGATGTTTAGGTCATGAAATAGTGCTATACAGGTAATATGGTTTAATGCACTTTGCAGAAACTCCCCTAATTTTGATCTCGCTCAATATGATAATCAGAATCCTGTTTAGCCGAAGGGTTGCTATTTTTATAACAATACGTGTACTGACCCAAGTCTCGCTCGATTAGACAAATTCGGGTAACGTTTTTTTATACCCAATTCACAACTTTATATAATCCACATGCCAAATTACTATTGTTCTAGATTACTAAAGCATAAAATAGAACAAAGGTAACTAACTCTTAATGCATAAGTTTAAGGTGTCTGGAAAAGCCGGAACCCCACCCGGAACACCCGGAACCCACCCGGAACACCCGGAACCCCACCCGGAACACCCGGAACCCTACCCAGAACACCCGGAACCCCACCCGGAACTCCACCCGGAACGCGCTGGAATACGAGCTATGAAGCAACGCACGTGTTTCTCTATAAATTCACGTGTTTCGCATTAAATTCGGGCTGATGGATGGTTACGATCTTTACTTTTTACTTGTATTGTTGCTTTTTAAACTAGAGGGCACTCAGAGACTGCATACCTCCGCCCGTTACTCGGAAGTGAAACGCAACCTTGGAATTTCCTAAGAAATCCACTTTATTATTCTTAAGCATAAAAGATTTTAGGCCCCCGCGAATTGAAATCGAATTGCTAATAGATCATATTACTGTTGTTGTACGGTACATGGTGTCTCAAAAAAACCGCTACCCTTGGAAATTCACCATTGTTCTAATTTGAATGCCTGAGTGCTATCTTGAACTCATGGGTAATTTAAGACAATAAATACTCTGTGCTCAGTTGAGCCATTTGCTTGACATTCACTAATATGTAATTGAACGATTTTCGTGCAGTTATACTTTTGTATGAACTATTTTCAATTCCCAGGATAAAAAATTTCGCTTTTCAAGGATATTTTAATTCCGAAGATCTTTAATATATGCATCCTGTGAAAATTTTTACGCATTCATGGCTTCAACAAGGTTCAGGCATTCAAATTAGAACAGTGGTGAATTTCTAAGGGTAGCGGTTTTTTTGAGACACCCTGTACAGTACTTCTAAAATAAAAACTTATTAAGTGTCATTAAATAAATGCATAAATTTTGCTTTATGCACTCGCGCGTGCAGTAATTTTCACAGTTGTGCTATTTTAAATTCCCAGGCAGCTAAAATCTTTTGTCTTTAATTAAAACAATGTCGATTTCTTGGGAAATTCCGAGATTGCGTTTTTTACACCCTGTGTTGAAGTAATCTAATGTTGTTAAATGTTGTTAGAATTTGAATGGACTGGCACTTTGCTGAACGTGATAATGCGTAACTCCGTAAGCCTTGTTTTAGACATTGAATTTCGGTCGCGTGAAATGCAACTAAGACAATAGATAATGAAGGCCGAAGCTTAATGAGGTTTATCATCTCATTATTGTCTTAGTACTGCGTGCATAAATTATACACGTCCTAATTACGCATTCAGTAATATTTTTGTTAATTGACCGGGAAAAGCAAGACAAAATTTTGATCATTTCTCGTTCAATTTTTAACCAAATTCAACCAAATTTTAATCAGTTCTTCCTTAGCCGATGGGAAATGCAGTCAAAAAATTTCGTATGAATATGTTCGGTATTTCTTGAGTTATCGTGCTCACAGACAAACACACACACATACACACACACACACATGCACACACATACACACACACATACAAACCCAGATGATTACATAACCTCCTGGCGGAGGTAATAATTTTTCTCATGGGCAAGGATAAATATATTATGTCGGGCGGTATATAATATCAATTGCATGAGTTTTGCTTGTTTGTAAACGTGCAAACGAAGTTTCGCTCGAGGCGTTTGCCGCATGTATTTATTGCCGCATCTATATTTTTCTGCCGTACGATGTACCTGTGGCTCTATTCTAAATTTAGTTGAACAATAACCAATAATTATTTAACTTTGCTATCTTTTTTATTATTTGAATAATATGTTTGCATATGGTTACTTTGACTTGCAATTGTATGAAACGGCGCCATGTAGGAATTTAGAGGAATTATAAAGTTAATCCGTATTTATAACAATACGAATTCTCGTGGATTTGGGAAATTTTTCATGGATTTCTTTACTAGACTTACTCGTTTTTTTGGAACTTTGAAAGACGTTTTAGTAATTTGGAGGCTGTTTTGTACATGACAATGACTGCAGCCTACAGTAAAAGTGCACGCGCGAGATCTCAGAATAACAGTATTATTAAGTAAGCCCCCTTGGCCTTGATGAGTGCCGGTGTACGCTCTTGGGGCAAACTCATTCTCATCAGAAATATGTTTAAATAAAGTAGCTAATATATTATATGTATTGCTAGCAATTCCCAAAACATTAATTTGTCATTGAAAACGTTAACAACCAACAAGCAGGATGATGTCATATAAATATAGAGCACGAGGCAAGACTTCCATGTTCCTTAGATCAACGGCAGTAAATAAATATTGTATTTAATATATTAAATTAAGGACTGCGTTACTGTTGAAGTTATAACATGAACGTTTTGCCTAGTGGCTAGTGCTTTATATATACGACACCAGCTTGTTGATTTGGTTGTCAACGTTTTCAATGACAAATGAATGTTTGGGGAATTTTTTATTTATTTTTTTTTATTTTTTACGCTTACCCTTAAAAAATATCAAGTTATTTACATTTATTTTTCTATTGTTTTGGATAGGCTAGGAGCCTTCTAGCAATACATATAATTTATTAGCTACTTATCCTGTTATTCTGAGATCTCGCGCGTGCACTTTTATTGTAGGTTGCAGTCATGTCATATAGGCTACAAAACAGCCTCTGAATTACTAAAACGTCTTTTAAAGTTCCAAAAAGCGAGTAAGTCTAGTAATGAAATCCATGAAAAATTTCCCACAAATCCACGAGAATTCGTATTGTAATAAATACGGATGAACTTTATAATTCCTCTAACTTCTTACATGGCGCCGTTTCATACAATTGCAAGTCAAATAACCATATGCAAACATATTATTCAAATAATAAAAAAGATAGCAAAGTTAAATATTGGTTATTGTTCAACTAAATTTAGAATAGGTACATAGTACGGCAGAATATTGAAAACGAAACTGAAATATAGTACATGCGGCAAAAGCCTCGAGCGAAACTTCGTTTGCACGTTTACAAACAAGCAATACTCATGCATTTGATATTAATATGTACCGCCCGACAAAATATATTTATCCTTGCCCATGAGAAAAATTATTTAAAAAAACAACAATACAAGTAAAAAGTAAAGATCGTAACCATCTATCACCCCGAATTTAATGCAAAACACGTGAATTTATAGATAAACACGTGCGTTGCTTCATAGCTCGTATTCCAGCGTGTTCCGGGTGGGGTTCCGGGTGTTCCGGGTGGGGTTCCTGGTGTTCCGGATGGGGTTCCGGGTGTTCCGGGTAGGGCTCCGGGTGTTCCAGGAGGGGTTCCGGGTGTTCCGGGTGGGGTTCCGGGTGTTCCAGGAGGGGTTCCGGGTGTTCCGGGTGGGGTTCCGGCTTTTACAGACACCCTAAGTTTAATGTTTAGTTACTGTTGCTCTATTCAGTCCATGCTTCTGTAAACTAGAACAATAGTAACTAGGCATGTGAGTTGTCCAAAGCTGTGAATTGGGTAGCAACGATGTAAACAACGTTAGCCAAATTTTTCTATTGGCTTCGTTTTTTATAGAGTCTATCCACTTATGTCATATTGACAGGATAGACCCAATTGAAAATGAAACTGATCTAATAACAGACTGGATAGTCATGTTTGTCAGCTGTTCCTGGGTAGGATTAAAGTGCCCTGCTCTGGCAAGTATAAGTTCACTCTCGTTGATGGTAAGCCTCGTGAGGTGACAACTTCTGAGGTGATTACAAATGTCCTCATTACATTCACCAATTTATACAACCTCCTGCACTCCCCGGCCTCTTCCAGATGCAAAATTCCCCAGGCCAGCAAAAGAACAGCCCCCCCCCCCACGACTCAAGCATGCACAAAGTAAAAATTGGAGCTGCCGCCAAAAATAACCGGCAAGCCAGCCATCCAGCTTGCAGTTCCACCCGCGAAAACGTAGATTTCAAAGTCAAAATACTACAGTAGAACCCACCCAACCCCGCCCCCGCGGTCCGTCGTCCCCTACTGAATTCCCGCTACTGCAGCGGTTAACAAATTATAGACATTATAGGGAAATACGACGACATAAGTTAAATTTCGAAACCTCCAAGCGTCCACATGCAGTGAATCAAACGAAAAACGCACTCCTAGTTACAATTATTCAATTTACTACAAAAATCAAAGAAAACAAAATTTTACCGCCATATTTCTCCATAATTCGGCGACCGCTACAATATTAAATACAAAACAAAATAGTAAATGACAACAGACTACAATAGCGGAAGTGGAAGGTTGTAGTATTTTGACTATAATTATGTACAAAAATATGTTGCATCTATGCAGAAAGAATTAATGTCCGACCTTTCCTGCAAAATTTCCATTTACAGGGACAGATAAAAATTACGAGACGAGTTGAATAGAAAAATTAATGCACCGAACACTTTTACTGCCAGAGATACTGACAGCTTTGAAATTTGCTACAACCACAGAAAGTACCGCCCATTTATATTTTAAAAAGATATTTAACAGTTGTGAAATTATTCATGGGAATAAGCCAAGAATGGT